ATATATAAAAAAAAAAATAATAGTAATATTCTTGCTGGCCAAAACAAAATTTATTTTGGAAAATTCATAATAACCTAATTTATATAAAATTTCGGATTTTTTCTTGATGGACAAAATAGTTCAAAAATTCATTTTATTGTACGTTGTATAAAATCTAATGCTAAATCTGTAAAATTGCATTCGAATTTTACACCTATAGCCGATTTTGTAATTATTAACAGTTTCACACCATGTACATATATGGTTAATTCGTGTAATAATCCGCTTTTTTATAACAATAAATTCATTATCAAACCATTTAAGCTTTACAATGAATATTTTTTTTTTAGTCCACTAAGTATTCAAAACAGCATTACATCATAAAATTATTATGGGGGGTTATGTGTTGAAGTTCAGTTGACTGTATTATTTCCAAAAATATAATCAAATGAATTTTAGTAATTTGATAATAATAGTTTGATCTACGTCACATGTCACTAAATATAGTGAAACCAGTCCTATTGGCCAAATTTTCCTGCATTTCATTATTATTTACCTTAATATTAATAATAATAATAATAATGAATATAATAATCTTGGCAATAAAAATTTAAATCGCAATTACAATAACAGTCCTGGATATGGAAATTTTGATCACCAAGGTCAACAACAACAACTACAACAATTAAAAAAGCAACCACAACAACAACAAACGCTACAAAATCAACGTAATTATAATCAAATACAATCAACAATACCAATATCACAAAACAACAATATTACCTCCTCCTCCTCCTCCGCCATCGCTACCACCGCCACCACCATCAATAACAATAAGCAACCATCTTCATCATTAAAACGTAATGTGTCAATATCAAAAGATGGTAAAGTTATTTACACCGAAACTAAACCATTAGGTAAAGTGGGTGGATTAGAATTTGTAGCAGTGGAGAAAGCTGATCCAAGAAGTATTCCCTCATATTATTTTATGAATGACAATCCAGTTAATAATGATGACAACGAATATCCATTGCCTAATAATAATGTTGTTAATAATGGTAATTATATTGGATCATCATCATCTGGTGATGAAAATCGAGTTATTAAAAAATCCAGTGATAATGAAGAGCCGGAACCAAGAAAATCTACACAACAGGAACGCATGTTGGTTTTA